CAGACGCCAGACGGCGGACGGGTGGTCGCTAGAAGAGACGTGGATTTGAACATGGTATTTTGGTCCGGTTCTCATGGAGGATGTGTTTAGGAATTGAATGATGTTTTCTCACGTGAAAAAATCAATTCAAAGGAGGATGTGTTACTGGACGAAGACGACTCAGTTCCGGCCGAGAGAGTCGGGGATCTGTGGGGAGACAGAGGGATAACTTGGATTTGTGTAGTTGTATAGTGTAGTGAGTGGAGTGGTGTGATTTTTTGGCAAGGTCGGTAAAGGGTATTTTGGAGCAAGTGTCCTCGAGGCCATCACATAATAGGTATCCGGTCTCGTGCACGCCTAGATTCAGATAAAGCCTTCTGAGACCCTTCTTGAGACAGCCTACGAAAATGCGCACCGGGTCCTTAGGTGTTCTTTTTTGGTTGTTGCAAGCTCGTCTATTTCAGAATGGAGTCCGAAGATGGTTAGATGCGTCCTTCCTCAGGCTGCCTCTTCTTCCAACGGCCTCTTCCGTCACCGACACCCACCCTGTGAGGTCTTGCGGACCACGTCAGCCAACAACGCCTTGGGAGCATTGACGTTAAGCGAAGCCAACGAGGGAGATTTGTATCATAAGAGTCGTCCGAGCTCAAGGATTGGCAACTTTTGGTCCCACTCCTGGCATGGTGGACGATGGAACAAGATTTGGACACTCTTGGTTCTCTACAATGGAAGGGCTGCAATTTGCTGTGGGTTCATCGTCAGCTTCATCATGATGCTTCTGTTCGCCCTCGGTTTCCTACCTGGCTTTGAGAAAAATCAATATCTTGAAAGGACATCAGTTTGGGGTTTGGGCTCTGGCAGCTTGGCAGCACTGGTGACGTTGATCATTTGGCGTCCCAGGCACAGAGTGTTTCTAGACAGGATTTGCATCAACCAGCACGACAGCAAGCTCAAAGCGGCCGCAATTTGCAGTCTGGCGGGCATGCTCAAGCGGTCGGAGAAGATGTTAGTGCTATGGGATCCAACGTGGAGTGAGAGATTGTGGTGCTTGTTTGAGTTCCTTGGACAGCCGACTAGACTGATCCAGGTCCTTTTTGACACCCCCAATAGCCTGGCCTCCACAACCTTCGGAATCTTTTTCACCGGTCAGGGTGTCCTTTTTGTCGCTGTCACACTTTCACAGATGGACTGGGTGGTTTCAGAATGTGTCAGATATTTCCCCAAACAGTCCACACTGAGGGGTTCTGACGGTAGGTGTAAGAGCATGGGTTCGATCAGGGTGCTCTCTCTGAGCTGGGCAGAAAAATTCCATTCTGAGATTTCCAAGTGCAATTTCTTTGCGCAGGGTCGTGCGAAACGCCGGCCGCGGGACGGTGCTTGACGGAGGTGCGCTCTCGTTGCGGTGCCATGCGCATTTTTGGACGTGGTGAGAACTCTTCGTGGCAGGCGCAAGGGAAACCCTCGTGTTTTGGTGGGAGTCGACTTTTTGTGGCAGGCGCAGGAAATCGGGGCAGTCTGATGTCGATGTACAGATTTTGTGGCAGGCGCAGTACTTTGGACATGGTGGTTGTCTTTGGCATGCTCTGATTTCGTCGCAGGTGTAGTGAATCGTGACTTTTGGACATGTGGTTCGTTTTCAGAAATCGTGGCAGGTGCAGTACTTTGTGGACCTTGAAGTGCAGATTTCGTGGCATGCGCAGTACTTTGTGGACCTTTGTGGACCTCCAAGAGCAAGTTTTGCGGCAGGTGCAGTACTTTGTGGGCCTTGAAGTGTAGGTTTTGTGGCAGTTGCAGTACTTTGTGGACCTCGGAGTGCAGATTTCGTGGCAGACCTTGAAGTGCCGATTTCGTGGCAGGTGCAGTACTTTGTGGACCTTGACGTGCAGATTTTGTGGGAGGCGCAGTACTTTGTGGACCGTGAAGTGCAGATTTCGTGGCAGGTGCAGTACTTTGTGGACCTTGAAGTGGACTTGTTGGCCTTGAAGTGCGGGTTTCGTGGCAGAGCAGTACTTTGTGGATTGTGGACCTTTCCCAGCTTGCGCATCCCCATCCACCACCATCCACCACCGTCACCACCATCACCGCCCACCACCATCACCACCAACCACCACCACCACCACCACAATCACCATCAATCACCACCATCACCACCATCGTCACCACCATCACCACCACCATCACCATGATCTGCGTCTAGATCTCTAGACTTTCTGCTGCTACACCTTTAGACCTCAAACACTGTTTGGTGTCTCTTGCCGGGATAATTGCATGATCTTAACCTTTACTTGGGATGATAGAGTCGACTGACTAAAGTTGAAACCACCATTAGAGCTTTCTCAGGTGTTACGAGGTGAAGCGCAGGTTCTTGACACAAACACCACACGGAACGGTGGAACCGGGTGGACCCCCGACACAGGACGATGCGGCGTGGCACCGGTTCCAGTTGTTCGTTTTCTTTGGGGGGGGCACCAAGCCACCCAGGGAAAGTGGATCAGCAACATGTTTTTTTTGGGGGGGGATTGGGAGGATCCCACTCAAAACGGTCAACCGGTTTTCCCCATCATTTTTGCAGGGAAACTGAGGGAGTCAGCCAAAGTGGTGTCACCAAGAGTGGCACCCGTTGGTGCTCCAACCGCGTTCTTGGAAATAGACGCTTGTGAGTTTGCTTTCCGTGAGGTTGGCTGCATTTCTCAAAAGCAAGTCCGAGAACGAACAGCATGCGCTCACGATCCGGCCTTCCCTGGTTGGGCCAAGTTCGACCATCTCCTTTTCAGTCATGGTGGTCACGGTAGCTCCTTTGGTATTGGTGCCGAATGATGCTGAGAACCATCAACATATTTTACTCATCATTTTTCTGATGGGGAGCCTGGCAGGCCTTTTCATGGTCAGCGTTCTGCGTGGCTACTTTCGATCTTTGGCACTGCTCGAACAGCAGTTGAACTCGGTGAATTTTGATAAGACTCGCAGTCATTGCTGTGAAGTCAACCACCGTGAGGGGCAAGAGACAATTCTTTGTGATCGCAGGATTGTCAAAGCATGTGTCTCGAAGTGGTTTGGCAGTGAGAAGGCATTTGAAGAGTGCATCCGAAGCGAAGTGATGCAAGCGGTCATGTCAGACCTGCAATACCAGGTATTTACACGAAGTGGGATTCTGTTAGTCACATGCCCCCTTATGTGGGGTTGTTTGGATGTCGCGGTTTCTTGGGCATGCATTGGAGAGTGGAGTCGTGCTGTGCAGATTGCCCTGGATGGTTTGAGCAACTGGCTTCTGGTGACGCCCATCATTGCAGAGCCTTTGAAAGCTCAAACATCTTTTGTTTTTCTTCAAGATTTACACATCTTCATACGATTTTTACACGTTTCATGTTCAAAAGAAAACTCCAACTCTCTTCACATTTGACGTAGGATTGGGTGGTGTTTTTGGCACGACGTTATTGTGCCACGGCCTCTTCTCCCTCTCGCGACGCTTTGGTCAATCTTTCGGTGCTCCTCATGGCAGTACCTCTCCGCGCTTTCATCCTAGTGACCCGGTCCAATGTGGTAAACCATATTTTTTCACGTGGAAAGTGCTTAGCAGGTGACATTTCAGGGAAGGAGCATGGAAAGTGCTGTTTGCTCGAGCCAAAATAGAAACCCCAAACAATCCAAGGTACTGTACTGGATGATTGAGAGGCTGACACTTCGTGCCGAGTTGACCCTAAGTGCTGCTTTTAGTACATGTCTTTTGGGAGGCTTCTTTGGATCTAGTCGAGTTTCCTGATAAATCCTTGATACGCCCCATACTGACGCCCCACATGAGTTCTGCATATCTCTTCCCCTCTACTTGGAGCCAGGAACTCAATTCTCTTCGCGACTGTGATGCTCCTCGTGACCTTTCTTTACCATTTACTGAAAGCCCTTCGAAGCGGAAGCGGCGCAAAGGCCGCAGCACACGCGCCTCACGCACATTGCGTCGGCAGCGTCGGCTCATCTGAGCCGTGGAGCCAAGACGGTCATGTGGACGCGCCAAAGACGATGGTTTCACTATAATTCATGTGCTGGTGCGGTCAGTGAAAGGTGACTGCTTGTTGCAATTACATCAGGATGTTTCAGGGGATTCGCAATTTCTGACTCACCCAGATAAAACCGAACAGCAAGGTGGTCCGGTGGTCACCAGGATTTCGCGCGCCAACACGTGCAAGGCCCAATCGATTTGAGATCTTTGGGCGTTCCGCGAATCAAGGTGGTTTTATACCGCCATTTATACCTCTTGTTTCTACTAGCGATGCACTTGTTACTACTAGTAAGGCACTTGTTACTACTAGCGATGCACTTGTTTCTACTCGCGAATGGCCTAATACCGCTTTTGGTTTTTCGTTCGTCCCCAGGTGATCTTGCCAGGTCCGGCCAGCTGCACGCATGTGGGACGTCCTTTTCGCTGCACTGTGTGTGAGTGCATCACCAGGTCTGACCATTTTCGCTGACCTGCAGGGTCCATGGTGCAGGTTCGGTGCGGGTCCCGGCATGTTCCGATTCGCCCGGCTGCCCCGCATTGCATTAAGCAGGCGGCGAGGGATCAGAAAGACCTGTTTGACAGGGTCATGACGAGACTCATGACTCCAGTCTATATGTGCATGACCCATAGATATGAACCTTACTATAAGGATCTATATTAGTGAACTATTAGCATGTCTAGGTTGTTTTGAGTCGCTTCCCACGTCTCCTTGCCAGGGCTAGTTTTCCCCGGAACTGGTTGAATCTTCTCCCGCGTTTTTCACCAAGACCGCACGGGCGGACTTTTGGCGCAGAAACAGGCAGAACGGTCGACCGTGTGTCGAGCACGAGCGGAACTTCACCAGAGACAATGCCACTGTTTACAAGGCTTTGTTTGTCACGTCAGAATGTTGCTTGGCTTCGAGATGCTGCGATGGTCCAATCTGGTTAGCTATTTGTTTGGAGCCGGTAGCTTTGGTCATATTCGGTCATCTTCAGCCCTTCTACGGTCGGCCCGGACCGCGGATCGTGGATCTGCACTTGGTGAGGACACGATCACCATCCAGCTTTGATGAGTCAGGCCGTTGGCTGAGGGAGGGGAAGCTGGAGTTGGTGGAAGATGTCGTAGTTGTTCAAGTATGTTCAAATCGTTGTGTCATATTGTCATCATCATGCAGCAAGGCACCCACCTGATGAATCTCCGTGTGCTGATTCTCATCTTTGCGGTGTTCTCATCTCAGCGGCTTACAGAAGATACGCGAGTGATCGGGAGTGTGTATAATTATTAGGGAGACCCCCCGATCGCCCCAATGGGTAAACTTGTCTCGAACTGGGTTGTCTCCCTGTTTTGAAGTACGTACCCGATATACTTAAAGCAACACTCTACACATCTCTACGCTACTATACTGTTGTTAATTCAGGCTCCGGGCCCCAACAGCATGCTCTTTGGAGTTGCTCTTGGATGTTTGGGGAAAATTGCCAATCTGGTTGAGTGAATGCAGTGGACGCGGGTTTCACACATGTTATATAGATGAATAAACCTTGACACAACCCATAATTATCCCTCAATTGCAGTCAGTTTCTTTGATCACACGATGCTGTCAGTGAGACCAATCAAAAGCACGTCCTCGATCCAGTTTTGATGTGATCACCGTTCACATATACCATATGCCCCGATGGATGCTAAGCAAATGGCTGAGTCGAGCGTCCCGAACTTAAGGGACGCTGCCTGAGTTGCCTTCCGCCCGCTGCCTGAGATGTGTGGTATAGTTTTCCAGGTGGTGCAGAAAAGCACCATTTAAGATGCCGCTTTTGCCGCTTTTGCCGATTCTTATTCTCTTCACACCTAATATAGACTGATACCCCCCCAATTGGATTGTGAAACCTCATCAGGCCTGGGGAAAGGTATTTCGACCACTAAATGTCTACATTAAATGACATCTATTTCGATCACAAGACGGTGTGGCCGACACAGTCGACGACGACACAAGACTCTCGGGCCGGGCCCCGCCTGTTTGGCCCAAGATGTGGGCAGCCGGCGTCTTTCGAGCCAAGGCAGCGGCTTGGCTCAGCCGAAAGGCCAAATAAATCAGACATTCTTGGAGCGCATAGGAGGAACAATACTAGTAACAAGTGCATCGCTACTAGTAGCAGGGACGCTGCTAGTAACAAGGTGCCTTACTAGTAACAAGAAGCTACTAGTAACAAGGACGCTACTAGGGGCTCCTGGCATCGCTACTAGGAGCAAGGACGCTACTAGGGGCTCCTGGCCGTACTACTAGTAACAAGAAGCTACTAGTAGCAAGGACGCTTCATGTTTTTTTCTTATGGACACAACTCCCATGGACAGTTCCGGCTCCGATGCCTCAGTGCCCTGGATGTTGAACGAATGCGAGACGACGTAGCGTGACCCACGGGTCCTCAAAGGGTGGGGCAAATGACCTCGGTGAGAGGTGGGTGCAATAAAGAGCTTTGGCATGGCATGGTGCCACAGCCACATGCCAAACCAAAATTCCAAGTCACTGCAGTCTCCGTGGGATATTTTCACACCGGTACGGCGCGCATCTTCTATCACGGCGTGCCGTGAAAATCGGACGTTCGTGTGGAAACTCAGGAGTTTCACGAGGAGCTGCGCTTGACCCAGCAAGTGGTGGAGGCGGTGGCGCGGAGGCAGCTCGTGCGGCCAGAGGCCGCAGTTCTCGATTGGATTCCGCCGGAGCTCTCGTGGAGGATGATCGAGGGGAAAAGGTTTCTGACGACTCCAAGCCTTTTTGGACGGCGTTTTGTTTGCCAATCAGTTGCGGTGGTTACGTTACGGGGGTCAACCTTAGGCATGGTTCTTCCAGTTTCATGGAGTGTTTGGTCTAGGGCTTCAATAGGTTTCCTATGGTTTCCTATTTTTATAGGGAGTTATGTGTTGTGGAAGGATCACTATTGTCTAGGGATGGGTCATACATGGTCATCCTGTCATACCATCTGAGCTGCGGTCTTCCCAGATTCCGGAGGCGTCTGTCTGCTCGCGACTCTTGACTGGGGCCGTCGAAGACTGAACACTTGGATGATGGGAGGTTACACAGATTCCAGGTTGGTTCACTCAAATCATGATCAAGCCGAGTATCGCAGTGATGCTTGGGCAACATGTTCTTGTATGACATGGTTGGGGTGGTTGTGTGGAGAAGGTCACCACGTTCACAAGAGAATTGGAACAAATCACGCAAAATCTGATACTTTGATGTTGGTGCTGCGAAGGGGATGAAGCGAATGTTTGTTGTTACTTGCGGGCCACCACTTTGGGCTTGGGGGGTGGACATTATAGTTCATTTGGAAGAAAGTTGCTTGAGGAATGTCTTACTAGTAGTTATCGATTTTATCACAGGGTAACAATATGTTGCACCCGATGCATTTGTTTGAGCTTGGAACTATGAAGGCTTTCCTCCCTGTGAGGTCTTGCGGACCACGG